GGCGGAGCGCCGTGGCCTCTCCCAAATGCGAGGGAAAGGACTCACCCACCGCCACCGCCTCTAAACCCCGCCGCCGCTGGCCAAGAAAGCCGTGGGGGAAAAAGGGTAGCCTCGTAGCTTGCGGCCACCAGTCGCTCGGGCGACACAGCACCACCGACATCCCCACTTTCATCTTTTGATTCTCAGTGGGAGAATTTTGTCAACTCTCCCACCCATTTGTTTATAATCATCACATCACAAACCCAATTCGTAACTGCACTTACAAAGTTTCATACACGTCGAAATGTGATGGTCATGGTCATGGTCATGGTCATGGTCATGGTCATGGTCATGGTGATGGAGAGAGAGATCATAGTTTCACCCATCACTCGTCCTTGTCTTCTTCGCCTTCCTCGTAGTTGAAGGGCAATGGCACGGACTTGAACGCACGGTACTTGCCCACGTTGTTCAGATGCTCATTCTCCACCCTGATATTCCAACATGCATGATTTTATGTATACACAATGTAAATGTACTTTTTCTGATAAACTACGCGTTCAATATTTTGCCATGCAAAAATACTACTAGCAAAATTTATTTATTTATTTATTTATTTATTTAATTTGTTACCTGAAGAAGTTCCACATGCCACGGCGAATGATCTCTAAGCTGGCAATGATGCTGATCATGGCTTCTCTATGCAAGAACGAGAAATTTAAATTCAATATTGTCTGTAACCATGCAAACCTTAACAACACGTTCAGCACCTGCGTGTGGTTTCAATAAAATCATTAACTTCCAAAAACAAAAAAAATCCATATGTTAACATTATGTTGTTAGACTTGTCTCTGTTGGTATTATAGAGTTTGTCTAATGAGAATGGTATTATTAGTATGGATATTGTAGGTTAACGCTACATGATGTAATGTATCATACTAACTGACAATTCTAGTAGTAAGGAAATTAATATATATCATTGTTGAAGGGATACAATCAACATCCAAAGGAGAAATAAAAGTTTATGAAGTTCACATATACTTTATTAGAAAGAGGTCTCTTGAGTAAAGATTAAAAGCAAAATTATGAAAACTTATTCTAAAGTGAACAATATCAAATTAATGTAGACTTGTATGTGTGTGGAATAACCAATAAAAAACAATAAAGATATAAATACCTTCTCTTGACAGATATATCTCCTAAAAACAAATACCATAACATGACCCTAACAATTGTGGCATCAAAATATTAGTGTGATACATCATATTGTTAGCATAGACCTACAATGTTTACACTAACTCTTCAATTTTTTTTTTAAAAGTTTATAACAAGCAGAGCAGCGACAAGCTAAACTACTAATTGTGAGTATATTTCCAGATAGAAAGCATAAATTCAGCATCTTAGAAGATTTCCAAGTACGATATTTTTTTAATTTCTGTTGTTAGTTACATACCATAGCTGCGAAATATACACTTTTCTGAGGGATTAGGAGTTTGTCTCTCAGCCAGCGGTTCTTGGATTGTTTTTGGAGGAGACCCCAATCAATGACAAGGTCCCAATATGTGGAAAAAATGGCTGTAGATACTGAGAAAATCCAGGCCAGGACTTCCCAACCCGTTCCTTTATCAAGAGTATAAGCTGTTCTTAGGCAAACAGCTGCAATAGTGAGGAAATATTTCAACCCGTTATATCCTTGCATTTTATCTTTCTCCTCAAACAGACGCCTTAGGCACTGACAAGAGAAAGAAGATTATTTGTCAGTTTTAGTCATTTCTTAAGAGCATGCATTTTTACTTTCGTAATGTTTGGATAAGCACCTTAAGTAAGCTCTTAATAAGAACTTATTACAGGAGAATATATATTTTTTTCTATCAGTAGAAAAAATTATAACAACGGCAATAAGATCAAACCTATATCTCCACGTTTCTACTCAATCTTCCACCATTAAGTCAATCCTACTAGCTACATGAGAATTTATCTTGTAAGCGCTTGATTCAGCAAGCTTATTGTGATAAACTTCCCATTTCCCGATGAATAGCCTTATAGGTCACTTTCACAAGCATAACCCAACACCTATGAAATAAACCCTTCCAAATGCTACCTTGCTGTATGCAATGCATTCTTGTGTTTATGACTAACAAAGCTGAAATATATGTGCGACGGGAAATGGAATGAAGTTGTGTACCTGAAGAAAGCGACACCAGTATGGAATCACAACAACAATGAATGAAAAGGCTATGAATATCCTGCTTGACTTGCAAGTACTTTCTCTGTGTTTGAAGTCACCCCAGCCGTAGTAGCATATATAGAACTCAAAACTTCTCAAGGCTTGACCCTGAATGAGTAAAAAGGATCATTGTGTCTGAATGATCACTTAAGGGGCAATGGGGACAAAAGCTATGATATGGGAGATAGAAAAATGAAAAACATAGCATAATTCCTTTTGGGATTTCACTGACCTGGCTGGTAAATTGATCGGCCATGAAGAAATCTGGCAGTGAGACCTGAACTGGTGTTAGATTTCCAAACAAAAATCATTGTCCAAATAAGTGGGTTTCTTTTCCTAACTTATGTTCGCTACAATTTTTCTTTACCTTGTAAAGAGGAGCACAGATGCAGTGAAGCAGACATGTGAGGAAGAATATTCGGCTTGATCGATATACAATGTTTAATGGGCATAATAAAATGGCAATCACAATCTGCAGAGTAAAAATGAATTCACTGCGTAATTTTACGAACAAAACTAATTGACAAGGTTAATGTGATACTAATAGCCTTACTATAACCAGGAGAAGTGGCAAAAGTTCAGTGAATGTTTTGTAATCTTTTGTCTCTGGATCTATTTGCATGTCAAGATTTGCAAGCACGCTGGCTAGTGCCAATGCTGCCAGGAGAAAACTAAGGAGCAGGACTTGATGATAGCCTAAGTCAGTGCCTTGCTTAAAACCAAATATGAATGAGTAATTCACTCTGTATCGCCTCCAGAAGTATATATTAGCAGCATACATCAGCATGTGTAAAACTACAAATCCAAATAAACTGCAGAGAGTTTGATAGTGGTAAGTTATCTACACTTTTCTGCTTCTTTTTCGGATTAGAAGGTTTAGGAGTTAAAAGACAGACAAGACATCTATTTCAAAATCTGCATATAAAGTTACCTGTAAAGAGGAAACATGATTTCCATGTATTGGGTACTTCCTGAATGATCCATGATTTTACGGGTACGGACAATTAGAATAAGGGCCAATGTTAGAGCAGCAGTGCATCCAGCAGAAAAACCTGTGAAATTTATCAACAACGAAACTCGGAAAAAGTACACGCTAAACACAAACATTCCAATTTTTTTTGTTATATGTATAGTACTAAATATCTGGTTACCCATAGAAAATGTAATCCTATGCCTTTCTCTCTTTGGTTTTGGTCGCAGGATGCTCATTCCTTTATTTCGATTTGAGTTGGAAAAGTGCTTAATGAATACTTTCTCCACCCTCTCCATAAGCTTGGTTACCTGCAGGGGAAAGTGATTCAAAAGGAAAACTAAGCAATTGAAAGCATTTCATAATTCATATACATTCAGAATGGTGTTGCCAAGGTTTAGGCCCATTGTATACAATTTCACCTCATCGGAGCTCCCAAGGTAGGACTTATCAACCATTTTCATGTAGGCTTTTGCTGCACCTCTTGATGTAATCTAATGCATGAAGCAAAACGAGGTGAATAGACAATTTTGTCTTGCTTTAGGGAGAGACTTCAAGTATTTGAAGGTTGAATAACTACCTTGTCATATTTTTTCATTATCTTTGAAAATGCCAATACGTTTAGAAAGCTGTTTCATGAAGAACAAATCCATAAGAAACGAGAAGGCAATAAGCTTATTGATGTAAAAGGGATTGTGATATAATCTATACTTGTAGTTCTTTAGAAGTCGAAGCTTGTGATAGAACTCAATAAAAGCCAGTTTGAGTGTTTCTTCAACTTTGCTCAAATTTTCCTTGGTGAAATTTAACTCTTTTTGGCCAGGGTAGTTGATGAAGCCTCCTATAGTTGAACGAGGAGTCTCATAAGTGTTATTTAGTTGCACTCGATTAAGTATTTCCACAGAAGCAGGTTTGATGGACTTGATGGGTTTGATATTCTTCTTTGTGCTCTGCACTTCAACTCTTTTGTTGGTAGTTTGAATCTCTTCACCTATGTCATCGCCAGATTCCTCTAATTGTCCATGGTGGGTACTTCCTTCCTCTTTGATACCTTCAATTACCGTGGAAACTCTTCCTGTCCATGCACCAGAAATCACCTCAACACAAACTGAGAACTTCTTTACCATTTCAAACATAGAATTGAGTTTTACTTCGGATAGATTTAATTTCGGAATTCAAACTAAACACCCTTTTTCGGTTTATTTGTAGAACACACCATAGATACACGCATGTATTAAGAACTAATTATTCTGAAAATCTAAGCAACTAGACAAGATGAACCAATTTTATATTTTTTTAAGACTAAATTTAATCTTTCAACGTATTTATTTTGGTCTTTTATTTTTAAAATTTAGGTTAATTTAATCTTTCTCAAACATCAATCATTTCTGAAAAACCCTTTCCATTTTGGGATACAATGTTAAATCTATTTTGACGGATTAAAACGTAAAACTTCTCCTATTATACTTACCTTTATGAAACCCATTGATTTTCAAACTAATAAATATAGTAAAAATTATGTGAAAAATAAATTTCAGCAGCCAATAATACTTTTAGTTGATTATCAAAGAGATTAGTTACTTTGCCTTCTAAAATGAATTCCATAGTCTAGAAAAGTTAAATCCAATCTATATTATGAAATTTGACTTATCCAAGGAGGAAGAGTAAAGTAAATAACAAGTTTCTAAGACTGTCAAAATTGCTTATAGCTTGTATCAAGAAGCTTCTATGATAAATTTGAACATACATTTTAATTCTGGTTGAAAATCAATTTTACCGGAATCAAATCTACAAGACTCTAAACAACAGTGCACCAAAACAAGATGAGGATGGAAACTTACGGTTCAAATGGACCCCTCTGGGTGTAGAAGCATGCAATGCTGCGGTCGAAACAGACACATCAGAAGCCAGACGAGTCATCTCAACTGAGCTATCAAAAGCCTCACTTGGAATCTCAACTTTCACCCTGAAAGCCACCAAAGCATCCATTTGTTTGTTCAACTCAACCGCTTCCTTCATCACCTCTTCAACTTTGGACCTGTAGAACTTGTCCACTTTGTTGAACTCATCATCGAGCCTCCTAAAGTACACCAACTCGTACTCTCCATCTTCTTCTGCGGCCATGAGAAAAGTGGTCTCGTATTTTTCATGGCCATCTCGCAGCACCGAGTGCACCAAAATGGGTTGGTTCTCAATGTCCTGCTCAGAAGGGCTCAAGGGTTGGTAGTGCCTCTGTGTGAGGCCACTGAAAGCTCTGTGAAGTGATAACTTTCGCTTTAGACCTGTTGGGGTGGCACTTGAATGTGGCTTCTTTCTCTGCCTGTGATGAAGGATTTGTTTCAAAAGGGATTTCAGGTTGCCATAATCCATGTAAGCTTCTTGCCATTCGGGTACCATTTGTGCCGTGAATTCCTTGCCAAACTTCATTTTTGGAATGAATCTAGATTATTCTGGCCCTGTTTGGTATGTGCTAACAATGTGACCAGCTCAGGAACTTAGAAGTGATAGAGAAGTAACTAATGGATAAAAGTGGTTGCTTAAAGAGAACAAAAAATTGCTTCTATCTAGGCTTCAGCTCTTCTTTGCAAAGTGCAAATTGGTTAGAGGAGAGGAACTTTTTATCATGAAAGGTGGAGTCACATTGTAACATTTTTCTCAAAGTCATTTTTATAGATAAGTGGATTTAGATTTCTTCAACCCTACAAAATTAACTTAAAAGATGATAATTGTTTTTTATTTAGTATTGCTAGACTCGATACGTGAATAAACGGTCCTTTTTTAATAATTTAGGATAATTATATAATCTTTAGTTAACGTGATTAAGTTTTTTTTTCGAAAGAGTGAATGGTGAAAGGGATCGGTTTTCCTTTGCGGGTAATAACTGGTTGAGGGTGGGTCTGTTCCTGCATGATGCGTTGGTGACAATATACCCCACTTTCGACATTAACGTGAAATTAGAGTTAGTATTACCATCTCTGTGTTGGGATATAAACAAGTCCCACATCGATAAAATATGATAAAAAATAATAACTTATATAATACAAACATATTTCAATGATTGAGAGGCCTTTTCAGTGATGATCAAAAACAAAACCGTAAGGGCTAAGGTCTAAAGCGGACAATATTTCATCATTGTAGAGTATGTTTGTGTAATAACCTTATAAAAATAACTCATACAATATCCTCTCAAACAAATATCAGTATGTTTGTGTAATAACCTTATAAAAATAACTCATACAATATCCTCTCAAACAAATATCATAAAATATCTCTATCACTGTGTTTGGATTACCATTACTCTCAAAAGATTTATGTTTATATCCTGCAATTGGAAAGTACAAAATTTTCATTCCACGCGAGTGTAATGAAAATCCAAACATAAATTAATCTCTGTATGATATAATATTAAATATAATTATTTTTTCTTAAATTAAGAAAGAGTAATGTTATTTGTTCCGAAACAATCAACCAAAATTTTTTTCAAACACTTAAAAAGTTCACGTCCGTAAACTTGCATATTTTACTTTTTAAAAAAATTTAACAGTTTGGAGGTTATTTCAAAATTCTGATTCGAACCTAGGACTTGAATTAATGGGAACAGATTATTTAAAAATAAAAAAAAATGATATATATATATATATGAAAAAGAGAAACACTTATTAATAATAAAAAGTGAATCGAAGAAATCAAAATATAAGAAAGAAATTAGTTAATAAAAGACAAAAATTAACAATAATTGAGAAATTAGATGACAATGACTTCAAATTATAAATTTAGAGGAGATAAAAAAATAAACGACTCAAAATACATACATGTATTATTCTTAAAATTAGGTGATGCAAATGTGGCTCATCAAATATATGTAGATTTGTCACTATTGTAAAGTGTAAAGTATAAATTAAGGTCTGAAGAGTTAATAATAAAAAAAATAACAACTATGAGTTTGAAAAGAAAAAATAAAATTAATTTATCAATAAATTTAATTTAATTTAGGCATAAGTTAATTTATAAAAAAAAATTATATTAGTTTCTTTTTTAAAAATTGTTATATTATATATAATATAAATTTATCTAATTAAAAAATTAATTTAATTTTTTTTTCTTCCTATTATTTTTTTCCTATACGTACTTCCGAATAAATCTTGTAAAATAAGACAATCACAATTATTAGATCGTGCAAAGTCTAACTATTACCAAATTTGTTGTGACTTTTGAGTATTGGAATGGCTATTACAAGCATGTATTTTTCATAGATAATTTTTCGCTAATAATACTAATAAATTATCGTTGATTTTAAATAAATACATGAATATCTCATTTTTGAGATATTTTTAACCTAGCGAGCACTGTTATTGACGATAAATATTTTAGGAATAAAAAAATAAATAAATACATGACTCTCACTATCAAATCTTTCTACATAAGATTCTATTAAAGGTCGGTTTAGACTCAGAATTTTGAAAATGAAAATCAAATTAAAGATTAGAATTAATGGATGAAATAAACAAGAAAAAATACAGAATAAAAGTTAAAGAATTGAATTAAAAGAAGAAGCAAAAGAAATTATATATATTAAAAATGAATATTAACAATACACTTTAGTCACTAACATATTTATTTTTATTTGTTAAAATTTATTAAAAATTGCAAAATTAAAAGAAAGAAAGAGTCATTAAATAGAGTATGCTTAAAAAATAAATTAAATAAAAATAAAAATAAACCTCTTGAAACATGTATGCTCAAAAAATATTTTTTACCTAAATTTCTAAATATATTGAAATCTTTGAGTTATATTAACCTACAACGTTGAGTACTTCTCAACATTCTTAACATATATATCTTCTTGAAATGTTCTTCCTTTTAACACATTAGAACCAAGTCTGAAGTTCTTTTGTACATATGTTTGTTTTGATATCAGCAAATCGAAATCATTTCCTCATTTTAACACTTAAAGTTATCTCTATCTAACAACTGGACGCAACTTGTAAGCCTTTTCTGGATCTGTAAATTTAGCTGTATTTACTTGATGTTGTACGGACCCTGTCCATTTGTATTCGTGTGGTTCCTTTCTCTAATTCGTTTGTTACCATTCAAAACAAAACATTCATAAATGCGGAAACTTTTAAACTTTTTATAAATGAAGGTGGAGTCCACATTGTTGTCCCTTTTTCTCTTTTGAGCAGGAAATAATTAACAAGTTGAAGTTGTATTTCTTCTTGCTTCTTAGAGAACCTCCAATAAAGGATGCTTAGATGTGTCTTAAAAATAAGTAACAAAGCTTACAAGAATTTATCATTTGAGTGATCTTATATAGCAAGAAAAGTTTTAATTTTTTTTAGCTTCGTTGCTTAAGTAAGGAATGGTGCTTAGCACTATAAAATTTCAAATGGAGATGTGTGATTGATTCATCCGGATCCAAGTTAGAATGTGCACACAGGTTTTGCAAACAAAAATCACAGAAGGGTCCAACGTCCCCGGCCCCCGCACCAGGCAGTCCCCATGCCCGTTGCACAAAATTAGGCGCAAATTAGGAGAATAAATATTATTGTAATTTTAATTATCGCAAATTAGACTAGTTTTATTGTAATTGAATTTAATTTGTTGTAACTTTATTTCTCACTTATGCTTATGAAACTAGCCGTTATGAAACTAGCCGTTATGAAACTAGCCGTTATAAAACTAGCCGTTATGAAACTAGCTGTTATAACTAGTCATTGCAAACTGGCCGTTTTTTATGATACTATATAATTGATACACATTTGTTGCATCTCATTATCAAAACCTACTTGTCTTATTTGTCTCTAAATCTATTTGTTGCTTCCTATTTTCTCTAAAGTTGACACTTTAGTTTTCCACAAAATGGATTCTGACAAAGACTTTGATGCTTTGTTTGAGCAAGTTATAGATGAGGAACTTGAAGACAACACCGACGAACATTTAATGAGAATAGCACTTGAGATGCAACAACAATCTGACAACACTACTCGTCGAAGGATAAAAAAGATTGATGATTGATCGATGTCATGAAGAAGGGCACAATCGATTGTTCAATGATTACTTCTCTGATAATTCAGTTTACACAGATGCTCAATTTCGACGAAGATTTCGAATGCAAAGGCATGTGTTCCTTAGAATTGTAGAAGCCCTTGGTCATTATGATGATTATTTCCAGATGAGGGTTGATGCAACTCGAAAGAAGGGTCTTTCACCATTACAAAAATGCATAACTGCAATTTGTATATTAGCATATGGATCAAGTGTTGATAGTACAGATGATTACGTTCGAATTGGTAAAAGCACTGCTATGGAATGCTTAGAGAGATTTGTATCCGGTGTGTGCAACATATTCGGAGTTGAATACCTTAGGAGGCCTAACAATGAAGATGTTGAATGACTACTTGAAATGGGGAATGGACGTGGCTTTCCAGGTATGTTAGGGTCTATTGATTGTATGCATTGGGAATGAAAAAATTGTCTAGTTGCTTGGAAAGGACGATTTTGTCGAGGTGATCACGGCAAACCCACAATTATGCTTGAAGTTGTAGCTTCACAAGACTTGTGGATTTGACATGCTTTTTTTGGCACGACAGGTTCAAATAATGACATTAATGTGTTGAATGTTTCGAATGTGTTTAATGACGTTTTGTCAAGACAAGCTCCTGCTGTACAATACATATTGAATAGAACCCAATATAATATGGGTTATTATCTTGCTGATGGTATTTATCTAGAGTGGGCTACATTTGTTAAGACCATTCCTATGCCACAAGGAGAAAAGGGGAAATTATTTGCCAAACGACAAGAATCGGCAAGAAAAGATGTAGAGCGAGCATTTGGAGTATTACAATCTCGATTTGCAATTGTGCGTGGACTAGCACGTGCTTGGCGTGTTGATACATTGAAGAATATCATGTATGCATGCATCATACTACATAACATGATAGTTGAAGATGAGAGACACACATACAATATTAATTTTGATTATGATAATGGTGGTAACAAAGTCTCGACTACTGATGTATCTATTGGTCCTCATCCTATTTTTACTGCAACATACTTACAAAGGAAAGCACATCTTCGTGATAGACAGCAACATCGACAACTACAACACGACTTGGTGGAACATATTTGAGAACGTTTTGGATATCATAATAACGAAAATTAGTGCGTATTTAGCTTTTATATTTAATTTTGTTATAATTTTTGGTAATTCTTTTTATTATATAATTTCTTTTTATTATTGTATTTTTTTATTATATTATTTCTTCTGTTTATTATTCATATTTATATATTATCCATAATAATTAATTTTTTAAAAATTTATCATAAAGTGTAGTGTGAGTTGTCAAAAAGTGTAGTATGAGTTGTAAAAAAGTGGAGATATTTATAAGTAATTTCTATTGGAGCAAAAATCATAAAAATATAGTATGAATTGTTTATAAGTAACGTGATACAGTGAGACCCATTTAAAGTAGATGAGAGTTACTTAGGTAGTGTTTGTTTCTGCTGATTTACTGTTCACGACGAACGAAAGGCGAGGAAATTGCACGTTTGTTTATACTGATTTACGAGGAAAGAAAGGCGAAGAAAAGCGGGAGAAGAGGCGTTGGCGTCTTCGCATTTTTTGCGAAGAAAATAGATGAAAACCACGTAAGATTTGAGAAAATCCCATAATACCCTGCCCCATGCATGTAGAGGAACCA